CTACCTACTACCTACTACCTACTACCTACTACCTACTACCTACTACCGACGACGACTGCGACTACGATGGCTCCCTGAGCCGATAATTCAGGGGGAATGGACCTCATGAGTGGTTATCTCATTCCTTGTTGACCTTGTTGACCTACCATGTGGGGGGGGGAGGTTTATTAATCCGGTCTTTGCATTACAGGGCTGAAGGGGATAAAATGGTATCAATATCGCAAGGTGAATTTTTGGGTGCTCTTGGCTCTTGATTAGAAGAGGGAGACCCCCCACAATCCACCCACAAACCCCTAGCTGTCGGCTCCTTTTATCTTGTGTGGTCTCTCATTTTGCGATAGACCAGTCTTTTTCAGACTAAACATCCCACTAGGTGACTGAGTGGGAGTATTGCACTGGCCAGCCATGTTTCCTCCTGCTGATCAGCTTAGCCCTTTGCCGCCCAGGCACAGCTGGAAGATGTAGATCCTCAGGCTGACCGAACAGCCACACCCCCAAAATCGGAGGGTCGCTTCCGCGCCCTTTGGAGAGTGGTTCTGGCTCAGAATGCTTCTTTCTGGCTGAGAATGCTCAGTTGGTGGGTTCTGGTTCTGAGAGCTTCTGTCTGGGCCGAAAACCGCTCTTTCCCCCGATGTTTGGTCTTCTCCTCTCCTGATTCCTGCTTGGTTCCACCGTCGTGTTTGGGCTCAGACCCCCCAAGAGGGGAGTCACAGCGAGGGGAGTCACTGCTGCGTGTTAAGTTGGTTTGTGTTGTTGCAACGTTCAGGAGCTGGTGATTTACCATACCTACTTAGAGGTTTTGGGTGACCTATGGGATAGTCAATATCCCGGATAGTCGAACCTAGGGTTCTTCAACCTCTGTTGGTAACCACCCATTGACCACGTCAGGATTATGATAGTTTTTTCGATGCTTGTACAGCCAACATCGAGCAACAGATCGACTGACCAGTCACTTTTGGGTATAAAAATATGGTCTTTGAACTTTGAACCCACAAGACTTCAGGTTCCTAACAACTCCGCGGATTTGCCAATCCAGGACCCCGGATCGCACATGTTACGTCCCAGTCTCGGCTGCGAATATTCCGCCAGAAGTGATTCGAAAATGCCCAAGACCTTCACGTTGATGGCGTTGCTTCCCTGCCTCGGACGAAAGAAGCTGCAGAAGAGGCTGCTGAACACTCTGACACATGCGAGAACAGGACATGGGATGCCCCTGAGTCCCTGAGAAGAACACTGCGCTGCTGTCAATCTCTAACACATCTCCTGACATCTCCTAACTCCGCCTGGAAGAGAAAGGTTAAGGGTTAACCAAAGCTTTCCACCTGTTCCACCATCCGAGCAATCTACACTTGAGATTGCAGGCCCTGAACACTCTGGATCAAGGATCACTATTGAACAAGAAAGGGGCAGAGGGCCCCACACCGACAACACCACACAGAGTCAGAGACTCCCCGCGGGTGTCGGAAACACCCCAAAAAATCTGTACACAGGATTGCTACATCACAGAAAGACAAGGATTTGCCTGAGGAAGAAAGTCGCGAGCATAGTTTCAACACAAATCACCAGCCAAGGCTAGACCTCCACCGACAAGCTCAGAGTTTCACAGCTGATCCAACAAAAAGGACCAAGAATTGTATCCACGGCCCCCATACTTCATGAGAAACCTCGCAAAACGAAGACGCTCTGCCCCTGTCACCCAAAGATCCGTGCCCTGAAGCAATCCATGCGGTACACAGCGGCCAAGAGACTTGCTATAGTTCCCCACATGCCAACCCGGGTGCAATGAAATTCGCCGATCAACACCGAAAATGTGAAAGGATTTTTTTTGTCCACCGAAGAAGATCTTCAAAAGTATTCTCGCTTGCCTGAAAATGTCCAGGAATCCCACATCGAAGCCACATGTAAAATGAAAGTTCTGTATAAGACACACAGGCATCCCTATTTGTACTCCAGCATGCGGAGTTCCAGCTTGTGAGGAGAAACCTCCTCTCAACTGCACTCATGGCAAGTTGTCTTTTGCTGACTGGCTCGCATTGCAAGGAATTTGGGGTTTCCAAGAAAACTTCGAAGAACATACGTCCTAGGGCCCCTTGTCATAAATTTCTTTCAACTGATTATCGGTCAAAGCGAGTGCAGGCGCTTCATCAACGATGTTTTCTGCATCGGGTTTGGAGTGAGGGCAAGGTGTGTCAACACCAAGCTGGAAATTCAAGCGCATCAGCCATTCGTGGTGACCCTGAACTGCAGCCATCACCTCTTGTTGGAGACCGGGGAGACTGGTGCATGAAGAGCCGCAACACGTTGAGCTTCCTTGTCAGCAATTCGGTTATTAGCAATGTCAAGCACTGTGGAGCCCAATGCATTGGCTCTTGACTCATCGAGCTCCGCGATGGGAACATCTTCCAGCAAGTGGGAGGGAATCCAGCGAAGCTCAATGGGATTATCACACTCACAAAGTCTCTCTTTCCAGGCCTGGTAAAGCCATTTCCACCAAATGTAGTGCACACTGTTCACATCAGGACACAAGCGCTGTATTGCAACAAAGGCATTAACAACTGCTTGACTATCTGTGTGGATGTGCACGGTGCTGCAGCGATTGCAAAAGCCTCAAGTACTACCCAAAGTTCTGCGGAGAAGGATGAAATGGAGAGTGCACGCACTCTACCGCTCCTGCATACCAAACCCTGTTGGCTGACGATCGCAAAGGAAGCAGTGTTCAGCCAAAAGATGTCTGCCCATTGAACCGAACCGTCTGTCCAAAGATGAACCGTATGGCCTCCTGCGTTGAACAAAGATGCATCTGGAAAAACACTTTGGGTTTGGATTCGAAAATGCGCAACCGACCATGGGTGTCCAAACAAACCCAAACGCCAAAAGTTAGGTCCAAAATCATGCTTGGTCCATGGGCCACATTTGGAGTGGAGTTCATTACAATGAAACATGAAGTGATCCAAAGTCTCCCTGGCTTGGGAGCAGAACCTACACGCGTCATCTTCAACAAGTCCTGCGGCATGGAGTCTGTCGGCCGTCAGGGCACATCCTGGCCTACTTGCTGAGAGTCAAAGAAACACTGAGCAGGGATCCTTGTAGGGAAACAAATTTGGCTTCTCTGCAAGCCCTTTCGGGAAAGATCAAAATCAACAACCCCTCTTGGTTGAGAAAAAATCTTTACGCTTATGGCTTGCTGCCTGCCAGTAGCAGGCATTTCTGGCTAGGTGCGCCAAAAGCTTCTTGCAATCACGAACAGTGAGCAGCTCAATGGGCAAGCCACATGTGTCATTCCGGAAATGTAAGCGGAAGTTGTGGCTCACTGCAAAGCCAAAGGTGAGAAAGGCATCACACACCTGTCGAAGGAAGGAGTGTTCTGGCACAGCATGTCTCCAAATCATTTCGCGTGAGTCTGTCAAAATAGCTGTGTTTGTGTGGATGGCACGAATGAAACCACAGTGGAGTAGGCTCTAGCAAGGACAGGCTCAACTCTGTGTGGCTGTCCAAGGAAACCAAGGACTAACCATTTAGACCGCCACATGGGCCGGTTTTGCCACAGAACGTTAGTGACTTCATTCTGAATTCGCGCGATACCCTTTTTGGGGATTTTGGAGATCGCAGCCCCATAGGTACACTGGGGTATGACCTTAGCCGCTACTAGGTGTGCTTTTGTGGCCACAGGGAGTGGGAGTGCTGCAATATTTTTGGCATCAGTCAAGATCTTGTGCAGTTTCTGGGAAGGAAAATGAAATGCATCACGTTTTGATGTATAAATCATGACCCCCAAAACCTCAACTTCCAGGGCAAGAGTCATCTCAGGGAAGAGAGCGCGAATGGTTTTCCGAGCAATTTGGTTGAATCCCCAAATAATAGACTTTGCACTGTTAAGTTTTTGACCCATAAGTTCATCCCACAAACAAGTAATGTCGATTGCTTGCTTAAGTATCTGGGCATTAGCAATGCGCGTCCAAAGATATGAATCATCGATGAAAGCACGATAGGACAGACCTGGGAGATGTCTGAGGAGCAATGTCCAGACTTTGGTGAACAAATTGATCGCAATGAGGGAAAGTGAACAGCCTTGCAGCTGTGGTTGCGATCGGGGAAATCCATGCTTTCTAAGCCAAGTGGCATTTCAAGTTCCTATAGATGGTCAAGAAAGCACGTGTCAGGCCACAAGGGAGCCCAAAGGCAATGAACAACACAGCAATTTGCTGGGGCACAAGACGATCGAAGCACTTACTTTTATCAAGATTAATACCTACGATAGCATCCCCACACTCATTGGCATGATCTATATCTAGGCGAAGTTCTGTATGTACTGCAGTCATGTTACGCCCGACCACCGCACCTTGGATAGCTGATGGCATAGTCTGAGACTGCCACTTCTTGAGCTGCGCGAATCTGCAACCAGTGCCAGTGTAGGCCACCAAAATGCACGGCATCAACGTGATCAAGCGTTTCTGCATGGGATGACTCACCATTCTTATTAAGAAGTACTTGTTTTGCAGTTGTCATGATTTGAGGTGGGTCACACTCAGTGTTTTCAAGACGATTGAAAATGTCGGCAAAGACTTGGAAACATATGACAGGCAAAGCCTGTAGATCGGTAGTACGCCACCCATCTAGGCCTGGGGCGGCCATTTTCTTCCTACGGAGTACTTGTTGTTGCAAGTCAAACGCAGTAATGGGAGGAAGTGAGATAGGGTGAATCTCATCCTGGATATACGGCCAAATGATCTGCGAGACCTGAATGGGATCGGTGTGAAGCGCATTAGCGGCAAACACGTTGTCCCATTGGGAATTAATGGTATCAAAAGCCTGGATGGGGTCATAGATGACGTTACCGTCAGTATCCTGCACAAGATTGGGGGGGTTCATCACAAGCTCTGTTTTCACGTGATGAAAGACATATTGGAACCCTTGCTCATGCGAGTTTTGGATCTTGGCTTTCCAAATATGAATCCTCTGCATTTTTTCTGTGTTTCATAGTTATTCAACAGTTGCTGGAGCCAGCTCCTAGCCGCACACAGAGATGTCTGTTGAGGAACCGAGTGTCGCAACCAGAGAAAGGGGTATTCCAAGAAGTGCAAACGATCAAACAACTTACCCAGGGTGACACGGGTGATGAGCGAATCATGGCCAACAACTTCAATTCGCCCACACCGAAACACCAGTTCAGAGCAGATGCGAATGGTCTTGTGCAGGTAATCTCCAAATTTGGTGCGAACAACGCCTGTGGTGGTTTGCCCCGGAAACACAACTCGTTTACGAAAGGTTGGAAGCTGACCCCTCGACTTCGGGCCTGCCCCCCAAACCGCTCCATTGTGGAGGAGTGTTTGCAAGCAAATGTCATTCGCAATTTCCCACTGACGTTGGATCGAGATGTCAGGGTTGGCAATTTCGAATTTGTACATGGCATCTCACGCCTGCGCAGTGTCGTGCAACGGGCACCCAGGGTCATCGGAATCCAAGCAAGGGACAGCCGTGGTGTCCAAAGGAGCATTTTTGACCAACTGGAAACCTTGTTGTTTAACGATACTCCAAGTAAGGGTAACACGGATGGGTTTATGCTGGGTCCCAAGCCCTTCGATGAGAGAGCATTCAATCAAGGCGGCAGTGGCAACTGGGTTCAACAAGCAGCCATCGAGACTTGAGCAACCCTCCAATGAAGTTGGGAAAGACCCATCCGAGGAGAAAGTCACCGGCCTAGAAAGAACGCCAAATTCATCAACATTGTTCAATGGGTCTGACCACCCTTCGAAATTGGTAGCCCTGGCCACGGGAGCATAACAATCAGGTTGCAGTTGGAAGTCCCCGGCCAAGATACAAGGAATGTCACCAAACTGCGCACAAATGGTGAAAACATCCGCAAGAATATCTTCGTTGTAGCGCTGAACATCAGCAAGATTAGTGGCCCCTGATTTCAAATACAAGGAAAATACCAAAACACGAATTTTGGGGCAACTTTGAGTCCATGCAGCAACGACTCGATGAGACTCGAAACATTTGGAGTAAAGACCAGTGCAATCTTCAGCCGGGTTGAACGGCATAGTCAAAGGTTCGGGTGCCAGGATGGCGGTGCCACCATGGGAGGATTTCTGAATCCCTTGCGAGTTCAAAATACCTGGGAGTTTTCCGGCGAAGAAACCT